TCCATACTCAGAGCTGTATTGGAACTGGTTACATGTCTGATCCATACTCAGAGCTGTATGGAACTGGTTACATGTCTGATCCATACTCAGAGCTGTATGGAACTGGTTACATGTTTGGTCCATACTCAGAGCTGTATGGAACTCTTTACATGTCTGATCCGTATGCAGAGCCATATGGATTTTAGGGGAAGATTGTATTTTTGCTTAATGGAATAGTAGACAATGTTTATTTTAATAATCTTTAACAGAGTAATTTTTCTTTTTATCGTTTTTAAAACAAGAAGTAATATTTGTATTCTATGTTGTAGACTTTTTACATGTCTAGCTAGATCTGAATAAATAACAAATTAGTAGCAATATCTGTTTTCAGATGAAACCTGTCCTCCATTGTATAGAATTGTCTGAGTTAAAAAAAATCAAGGTATGGTACTGGTCATACATCTTGCATAATAAATCTCCTAATTATTGAACATTGCTGTAGATGTAAGGAAATTATAGTTTATAGAACTTACTATATCTGGCAAATAAAGTTTGTACAGAAAAATTTATAGAACCAAAAATATCACTGTATATTTTGAAGAAAAATTATAGTTAATTGTATGGTGTTAAACATGACAATTTTGACTGTTTGGAAATTATCTAAAGTTACTTTAACATATTGCTTCACTGTAACTTTTTTCTTGATAGCATTTTTTATCTGAATGTTGACTTGCATGATGGATGAAACCTTAAGGGTATTAGCAAGAAGATTAATTGATACTTCTATAATTTCCAGGCTTGTACTGATTTTATAATTTCTCTATGAGAGTACAGTTTCTAAGCATTTAAAACTTCTATAATCTCTAAGCAAACAAACAATGTTCGAGTTAAGTGTTCTTTTATTTCCTGTCTTAAAATTGTGAATGTTGTTACAAGAAGGTAGGTGATATATTCAAGATTGGCAAAACAACAATATAAGTTTTTGATGATTTAGGATACGTTTTTTTTTAACAGACGAAAGTGAATCATAATTTCTTCTGGTTATTTGCTTCAATATGTTAAAATCAAACAAACAAATATTATTTTGCAAGAGTAAAATAAACATAACTACAAAAGTTTTAAGAAGATTTATATTTATTATTTCTACTTTTATAATAAAGTTAATGTAAGTGCAGAGAAAAAAGTTTATCATTTCTTGTAGCTTTATGCAATGGAGATTAATTGAATGTGAGATCTATAAGTGTAATTTTCACATTCTTATGGAGTAAATTTGTTAATCAGATGAAATTTACATTTCTAGAGTGGCAGTTGTTGGCAACGTAGATGCTGGGAAGAGTACTTTACTTGGCGTTCTTACTCATGGAGAGCTGGACAATGGAAGAGGATTTGCTCGTCAAAAACTCTTTCGGCACAAGCATGAAATGGAATCTGGAAGGACTTCCAGTGTGGGTAATGACATCTTGGGATTCGACAGCTGTGGGAATGTTGTCAATAAACCTGACTCACGAGGTGCACAAATAGACTGGGTGAAAATTTGTGAGGAATCGTCAAAGGTACAGAAACTAATTTTCAAGGAATAGTTAATTTTTTATGAAGTAAATAATCTTATAAAGTAAAATTAATGCAACTGTTTGTAAAAGCTATTTACAAACTAGATTGGCAACAACAATGTTTCTCTCTTTCATTTACAAGTACTCTTTCTCTGTTCATGCTCTTGATAAAGGCAGCTCCCCAGTTGAAAGTTCCAGGATTTCATTTTGTTTTAATGAAATTGATTTATTAACCTGGCCCGGCATGGCCAGGTGGTTACGGCACTCGATTCGCAATCTGAGGGCCGCGGGTTCGAATCCCCCTTACACCAAACATGCTCGCCCTTTCAGCCGTGGGGGTGTTATAATGTGACGGTCAATCCCACTATTTGTTGGTAAAAGAGTAGCCCAAGAGTTGGCAGTGGGTGGTGATGACTAGCTGCCTTCCCTCTAGTCTTACACTGCTAAATTAGGGATGGCTAGCGCAGATAGACCTTATGTAGCTTTGCTCGAAATTCAAAAACAAAGAAATTTATTAACCTACACCTTTTTTATTTTGAAATTAAAAGTTTCGAAAAAGAAAAAAACAGAATGTAATTTATAGAATTAAAAAATTAGGTTGTTATAGAACTGTTCAAAAAATTTTCTTATAATTATCGGCCAATTCTTAAAACGTACTATTGTTAGTGTAAGCTATATTTTCAGTGCTTTAATTTAGATGTTTTCTAAAAGGCACATGATATTAAGATCTAGGAAAGTTCATGAAATTTAAGAATTTTAATGTGTCATGTAATATGTAGTAGAAACAAAGGTGCAATATAAGTTCGAGTAATCAGTGAAGACTCAATCATTTTAGCATCAGAAAAGTTATTCAATATTAGAAATGAGGAGTTTCTTGTCTTTTCTGTCATTCACTTACTCTATGAGTTAACACGTTTGTTTATCGATATAAGCTAAATAAGTTAAGTATATTGTTCCATTAGTCTTGGAATTTCTGTTGAAATATTGTATTTGAAGTTAGACCTACATTAGTTTTAAGTTTATGTTGAAGATTTATTTCTTAAATTAGCCTTGCAAGCAAATGTGGCTCTAGCAAATGTTTATTGTCTAATTAAATAAATGCATTATCATTACCTGGACTAGACTTGGTATTCTTTTTACCAAATAATCCAGAAGAACTCACCAATGATAGGACATCTTAGAACAACAATACCTGTATATAAGTCTCAGAAAACTTGGTGCTTTAGAATGCTGTTTTGTACCACCTACATAGCTTTAATTTACTCCTACTTTACAGTTTCCCTTGAAAAAATTACTCTTTGAAGGAATTGAACTTGTTAAAAGGCCTTTACACTAAAAAGTTTAAACCTTAACTATTTGCATGGGGTTCGCATGGGCTACTACAGCCAAATAATAATGGCTCCCAATCTATTAAGCCTTCAAATAGATTTTTCCGATATGGTACATTACCTCTTCTCACAAAAATAACTATTCTTGTTCACTGCTGCTCTCTATATGCAAAAAAAAGTTTTTGCATGCCACAAGCCATGAGCTCCCACGTAACTTACAATTGACTGATTCAAATGCGTCTCACATGCAAATCGTCACACAACAACCCTCTACCAATAAGAGTGCGACACGCTTTCCTGATTCATGTGACTCTCTCTATTCATTTCTACCAAACTATCACTTCTCGTTTGACAGTACTTGTACTGTAATGTTTAGTTTGTGCTCTCTTCAAGTGTTTTTTTTTTCCATTTCTTTGAATCAATTGTTCTCAACAAGTTTACTATTTATTATACAACAGTGATACTTGTAACTTGTTGAGTTATTCCACAGTGGAATTATTTTATATTTCTTTCTGCCAACACAGTTATGTTTGGTTATTCATTCTGAATTATGAGTTACCATTTTGGAGGTTATATGTTCTATCAGCACATTTACATGGGCTTCAGGTGATGATATTCCATGGGGAAATTATTGGCTTTACTTCATCGGGAGACTGATTGTCCATTGGGGCCTTGATTCGAGTTTGGGGGCCTGCACATTTTGAAATACAATCTGCTGACTTCAGAAAGATAAGATGTTATACTGTTTTGGTTTTTGAATACTTTTATTATTAATATTATTATCTGTAGGTATTTTGGTTCCATAACATAAGTTTTGTTACATTAGTTAATACTCGTAGTTTAGTTCAGGTTTGAAATTAAGCTTAGTTGTATCCTTTGTCATATACCATTTGCTGAGGCTTATCATGGGTCTTTGTTATTTTAGGATTACCTGTAATTCATCCTACTGGTATATCAATCATTAGTTTAACTGTATTGGTTTTCTTCCATACATCACGTCTCATCATATGTTAGTGTTACTACACACTTACTTAATTGTACAATATAATATCTATTTCATTTTCTTTATTATTTATCTTTTATACTTCTTCCTATTCACTTGGCTTGTGTGGAACCCTCGAAACAGGGTTTGCACAGACTTCTCCCAATATTGTACATACTTATTGTTAGGTTAGAGATTTTAATTTCTAGCTTAGTTATATACTTTTTCCTGCACAGTTCAATTAGGCTTAACAAATGTCTGTTATTTTCTGTTTACCTGTAGTTCTACTTATGGGTTAATTGAGAATTAGGTTCAGTATTGTTTTCTTCAACACATAACATCTAAGACATATGTTTATTTCACTAATCAATTTCTTAATGTTTACAATATATCGACTGTTTAATTTTCATTACAATTTATACTTCTTACCATTAATTTCACCAGTGACAGCCCCTAGGGTCCACTCTACCTGCTCTTAGTATTCCTCGTTTTACTTCTATTATGGCTGAACCCATTTCAGATGAACTAGATTTTGTCAGTTTTACTCCACCTGAACATGGATTGCCTTCCCAGGCCTCTACTGCAGAATCTGTTAGGCCTATCTCAGTTTTTCTAGACGTGTTTCACAGTATATTCCCCTTCTTACACTGACATTGCTTCATGATGATCATTTTTGTCTCTCTTGAGTGTGTGTACTTGCAAGCCTCATCCTACACAGGCTTTGATTCTTTTTGCCTTAGCTTACCATCAGGCAGATTTCTTCTTCATTATATGTCATTTGGATTTCTGTTGATCCTATCTATTTTATCCTCAACTTAGTTTTTCAGCTTCATATTACCCTATTAACACTCCTACAGGTAATGTTTATCATCCATCTTCATAGGTATTCCACTTATAATTCAGGATTTGTGTGAAATAACTCCTCCTTCTTCCCTCCATGTTGGGGTATTTGCCATCTTCAGTTTTTTTCCTCCACATGTGGCTTCTTTGCTTCTGGGATCCTCTAGGGTGGGACACTACTGTTTGTTTATCTTCCACTGCTAATAGGGACTTCTGGTTAGTTCTTTTTCTCCACCAGTCCATTTTTTGGCCTACTCCTGTACATTTAGTGTCACATGGGGTATCTGTGATGCAAATGGAGAAACCCATAGGTAAGCCAGGTAAAGGACAGGAAGGTGCCAGACATGTAAAATGAATAAAGATGACAATGTTTCAAAATGAAACAAAAGAGCAACCCAAAAAAATCTGAATATAGCATCACAGATACACAATGTGACACTAAATGTACAGGAGTAGGCCAAAAAATGGACTGGTGGAGAAAAAGAACTAACCAGAAGTCCCTATTAGCAGTGGAAGATAAACAAACAGTAGTGTCCCACCCTAGAGGATCCCAGAAGCAAAGAAGCCACATGTGGAGGAAAAAACTGAAGATGTTGTGTATGTTTGATGCTGAATGAAGTTTTGGATCGATTAATGTAGGTTGTAATTTATTTTGATTGATAGACATTCTTCTGACACCAAGCTTAGAAGATTTTCATTGCAACATATAAAAAATATTTTAATCAGTCAATATTAGTGTAGCATTTAGGTATATGTTAAGGCTTTGCAAGTCTGAGTTTTAAGGGTTACGTATTATTAGAATAATAGTGTATGTATGCAAAGTGTTATCTTGTAGCCAGTATGCTAGAATATGAATCCGAGCATCCTGATGGCCTGGGAATGTCAAGCAATAAACTGCATCCATTGAGGTGAGCAGTGGGAAACCACCTGAACAGTTATATTCCATAACAGACAATGGCTTCATAAGTAATTGTGTCCTTGATTTTGAGGGAGGTTTAGAAAAAAACGATAGTTCAAACAATACAAAGTCAAATCTCTTCCAGGTTATTACTTTTATTGATCTCGCTGGACATGAGCGATACCTGAAGACAACCATTTTTGGGATGACAGGTCATGCTCCTGACTTCACTATGCTCATGGTAAAGTATTGCTATTTAAACTTCTTTCAACATTTACTCTGAGTTAATAGTTGCAATAAAACTGTAATCTGTGTCTAGAACAGCCAAGTTTTATTTCTCTGTTGATTATAATATTTTTGAATTACATTACATGTACAGAAGAGATAACACAGAATCTCTGATTTGTAGCTTCATTTATTTGTGTTAAATTTAACATCACTAACAAGACCAGTTTCACAGATAATCCCTATCTCAAGCCTCATAATTCGTTAAACTGTAGCACTTACTGATGTCACTATACACATGTTATAAATGCTTAAATAATTAAGTTTGGAAAAGATCTGGATTTAACCTAAACGTTATTGTTCTGAAAATTCATAATATTTATATTACACCTAGACCACTATAGCACTATGTCTGTTACATTCCAATTGGCCGGAGGAGCCCTGCTATTAGGTGAAAGGTCTCGTCGGCACTGGTTATAGCAGATGTGGTGTGGTTGACATATTATAACATATTCTCCTTTGCTTTTACTCATGAGTTGTGTGTCATATGTGCTTAACTTGAGCTGAGTCTACTTTTTTATATGTAATCCCCATAAAGTTCATTTTGTGTATGCACCCTTGAAATATTGTACAGTGAGCTAAGCCTATTTCTTTGGTGTGTGTATAAAAGTCTTTTCTAGCTTTAACTTTGGAGCAGTAATTTTTATAAATATTGAATATTTATTTCATTGAGATTATATATGTATATATATA